CCAGCACTCATGTTCTACCGTGTGGATTCTGACCGGAGGGATCAGCTTCGCATCCAGTCGTCCCTTCTGGTGATCACTAAAGGCAAATGCCAGGTCCTTTTGATCAGGCGAGTTTCTTCTTCCGTTAAGAACCCGTCTATCCCTATCTTCATTGTGTCAGCTACCTCATCTGGTATCCGATGTCCCTCCGTCGCCCTTCTTTCTCGGATCACTCGAAGGACCTCTTCCTCCTTCTCCATAGCCTCTTCCTTTGATGTCTCTAGTAGGATCGAGACCGGTTTCACTTTCTTCCCTACCGGCTTGTACTTTCGAACACTTCCTTCCGGGATCTTTCTCCTAAAAAATGAACGGTCGGAATCGCCCTTATTGCCTCTACGACTCGTGGTTGAATACTAACTAGCTTCCCATTCAGGCAATATCCCCTTTGCACCTCTCCTTCGAACTTGGCCAAGGCTGCTGAGTCTACTCCTACCTTGTGGTATTCGAGGACCTTGATGAGTTGTAATAGGTCGGGGATCTCGAGTGCGACTTCTGGACGTCTGGGCGGACTTCTTTCCGCTTGGGCAGGCTAGCACCAAGTTCGACCTCTGACTCCTTTTCTGCTACCATAACGCCTAGGACTTCGTCCTCCTGCCTCCTCTTCTTCTGGGGCAGGCCCATCTTGATCCACTCCTTCTTGTTGAATGCTTCCTCAATCATGATTTCTACCCTTTCTCTCATACCCTCCATCCGTGCGAAAGCCCCTTTTCGCGTGCTATCCTCGAACGACGGCGACCATGTTGCCAATTTTCCCTTCGGGGGGTCTCCTCCCGTTCCAAGGAATCGAAGGAGCTCTCCCTGGCCGGTTACGGGGTCTTCTATGTCTATCATGTATGAGCCATCATGCAAGTGCATGCCTATCATCTCCACGTTCGCGCACCACGGTCTCCCGAGGATTATGTCGTGGTCTATTTCCTCCATTACGGTCATTCGCTGAATGGGATTTCCCCGCCAGCTCCCCGGATGTTCCCTGTTACTTCCTTGTTTACCGTACATCCCGTGATCGTTGCGAAATCTCTTCTTATGAGAGTGATTTATGCTCCCCCGTCTACTAATGCGTCGGTATGATGACTCCCGATCTGGATTTTCAGTTTCCCTACGGGCAGCGCATGAAAGCTAAGCTTTGTCCCGGGTGGTGATCTCATGACTTCGCCGCCCTCTTGGTCGGGCAAGCTCAAACGAATGTCTGCAAAGGCTTTTTCGAGATCCTCCAAGTCCCCGTGACTCCTCTGAAGGTTAGCCACTTCTTGCGGAGCTTCCTCCTCCCTCTCCCCTTCTGGTAATTCGGGGTTGTCGCGTATTTCTACTCGCCTCCGAGTCAACAGTTGTCTGAGCCCTTTGAGCAACCTAGGGCTAGCCTGCAGCATGGTCTGAAAGGACACCGACACCATGGTTCCTAGTAACTTGCTAATGGTGTCGTCGAGCTCAGGCAAGGTTAAGATCGGGATTTGATACCAAAACTTCTTCTTAGCGGTGGTAACCTTGTCCGCAGGCTCCTCTTCCCTAGGCTTCCCATAGACTTTCTCTGGTTCCTCGGCCTCAGGCTCTGCCTGGGGTTCGGAGCTTCCGGCGACCTCCTCCATAATGGTGTCACGGTTAATCCTTCTCCCAGCCGTTCCCAGTCGAGTGGTTGCGTTCACCCTATCACGTCCGTCGTTTTCCAAAATAAAGTTGACCTGCGGTCCGCGCCCCCGGAGTTGATCCCAGATGATCTTGCCCACCAGTTCGGCTTCTACGACCGTTATTTCTAACCCGTTGAGCATGATAATGGCTCGCCGCATCCCTCCTGGCGAGTTCCAGTTCACCCGTTCCCCTTGTGGTCCAAATATCTCCCCTTTTAATGACCCGGTACACCTTCTTCTTTTCATAATATCATGGTTGAGTTTTGGGCACGCGCGCTCATAATGTCCTATCGCGGTACAGTACTTGCATTGCTCGTTAGCAGGATCTCTCCATCTGAATCCCCGGTTGGCTACACCTGGCGGAACCACAGCTTCCTGGGGAGGGAGGGCATGTCGGGATACTTGCGCCTGCATAACCAATAGCGCGCCTTCCATCCTTTCAATCTTATTGTCGACCCCGTGCACCCGCTCATGTAGACCTTCAATCCCCTACTTTACCTTGTCGCCCGTCCTACCGGTCAGATCTATGATCTCCTCTTCCTTGAGCAAGGCCAACGTTTCTGTTACTACCGTTTTCTCAGCCAAATCCGTTACCGTGCTAAAATCAACATCCCGCGTGTTTACGAACTTGCTCGTCTGTTGGTAACCTCACAGGATCTTGTCTTTGTCGAACTCGGAGAACTGCCTGAGGAAATATTTGCTCATTATCCGGTCCGTGACCCCGGGGATCCTTAGTGCTACTAGAGTAAATTCCCGTAGAAAATCATTGTACGATGCGAAGTTCTTCCTCTGAACTGCCACGAGGTCGGCCTCCGTTGCCATTTTCTCTGCCACTAGGTACTTCCTCATCATCACATCCCGGGTCTCCTTCCAAGACCGGCTTGCGGCTACAATGGC